AAAAAATTATTATTAAAAGGCTGAGATAGAAAAGCAAGGGTGACCGGTATATGTAAAAAATCTGCATTAACTGAGGTGAAATTTTAGATTCCAATGTTAATTTTCACTATTATGGATTAAAAAACGTATTTTTCCATAATGTAGGAGTCAAAGTACCCAGACTGATCCAAAAAATCCTCACATTAGTCTGTTTGCTTCTTAAATTGATGTAACTTTCTTGAACAACCTCCTGCTGGAGCCTGCAGGCACACTGTGTCCCGCATTATTATTTAATCTGCAGGTCCCACCTCGCAGACGCGCCTCATGTCAGGTTCTATTTTTAAAGTCCCTCAACACCTACACAAGTGTTTTTGAATTCCCTGCCGATAAAGAGCGCAGTGAGGTGGAAGAAGGGCCGCGCTCTTCTGAGAATAAAAAGATGTCAACAAACTGAGTGCGCAAATATAGACTGGAGCGGTGTAAGCATTTCCACCACGCTAAGTGCACCAAAGGGGCAATTAAAAAAAAAAGTTTAATCAAACTGCTAAAATCAACAGAGCTCAGATATTTTTGATAGCTGGGTGTTTAATAAATAGTTATACATTTGATCCTGGAGGTGACAGGATACGTACACTAGGCTCAAAAGCAGTCCCCTGATAACCTACGAGGCTGAATAAACAGACTTCGTGTCACTTCAAGTAAACCAAACATCTCTGGGGTTTAGAGTCCGACTGAAAAAGAGAAAACACACCGTGAGCAGCAGGTGTTTAGCTGGAAATGCCTTGTTGATGCCACACGTCAACTGTATGATACCATCATGTCCATATGGACCAAAGTCCCTCGAGGAATACTTCCCACACCTCGGTGAATCTACCCACAAAACATGAAAAGGCGGTCCAACACGGCACCAGCGTGATTTGAGGGGAAGCATGACAAAAAGCTCACAGGAGTAAACTCATGGAGATTTAATATTTTGCATCAATAAACAGGAGAATTGGATACAATCAATGGTTATGATGAGAAGGAAATAAAAAATACATTTGTTTTGATTGCTCTCTATCAGGCAATACTGAGCAGAACTGAAATGAATGGCGAGGCCTCCACAAACACAAAACATGGGAAAAAATACAAAGAAATTTCTTAGAATCCTTCACGTTGATTATTTTCAAAAGGCATTTTTGTCTGATTCAATTCAACAAGCGTTTCGCTGGTTTTGCATACAGCACCAACTATATGCTCGTCTCTGCAGATCCCTTCACCAGATACATGAATATATGGCTTAAAGGGTCTCACTGAACACAATGGCCAAATATTTAGGAGACACAATAATCAAATCACAAAGATTAAAAAGAAAAAAAGAAGGGGGTCAACAGGGGGGCTGTTGTGAGCTTGCTACCGCATTTTCAGGCAAAGATAAATATATTTTTATTTCTTCATCTCATCCAACTACCATTGCATTCAGATCCAACCGATGCAGCTGCAAATAAGAGAAAGAACAATGGTTCAACAAAGCTGGGGGTGTACAGCAGGATCAATATGTGGTTCTGAAACTTGGAAAACAGAAGATTCAACCAGCAGAACAACGTCTGGACTGTAGCAGCACTATGAAAGTGCACCAGTGTTTTTAAAGGCCGTCTCACGTTTTCGCTCTTCGCACTCCGACAACGTGCAAGCGAATAACGAGGCGCCCCACTCTGATCTGAAGGGAAAACGAGAACAAAACCAGACTTTACAGACTCAGTTCGAGCTTTACGTCCTCTTCATGGACCTGCTGTCCAGAAAGACAAAAGTATGTAAACAATCATTTGTTCATAAATGCCTTCAAAACCTTCTCAGAAGACTGTTTTGGTCTCTGTCCAGACAAAAGTCCCTTCAGCCTTTTCTCTAAACCTTTTTTTTGGCATAATGGACAGAATTTGTCCTCCCACAGGCAAACTTTGTTTTTTCTATCAGTATTGCATATTTGAAATCAGCCACAACTCCCGAAATCAGCGTTTAGATGCTATGGCTTTCTGCAGGGCTTCGTTTCTGGATAATACTCGAGACACAGAACAGCGAGAGTGATCCAAATGGGTGGCAAAGGTAACTCTGAAATGGGAACGAAACATTAAAAGGCTAAATGGAATGACTCCTAAGGATGTAAAGGTTCAGATTCAGATCCTCAAATATGTTTTTACACTATTGCCGCAAAGAAAAATAAACAATAAGAGCATTAGAAATAAAAAAGAATATATATTTATATATCCATCATATGTATATCTATATATAAACAGTTCTAACTAGTTGCAGGCAAGCAGAGATTTTCCTCTCCCGCCCCTTTAAGATTCATCCGTTCCACCGTTATAAGGCTGTCAGACTCTGGGTGGGGGCACCAGCTTTCTTTCCTCAGTCACCAGATTCCCTGAGATGTAGAGCGCCGTTTTATTTCTCGTGCTATTACTTGAGCCAAACACCATTGACCACAGACCCCCACCCCCCCCTGCAAAAAACTATAGATGTAGGGAAGGAGTGTTGCTCTGGCTCATCCTGTGGAGCTGCTGAAGGGTGTGGACGAGCGGGAGGCACGTGACCTCTCCACTCTGTGCTGCTGAGTCTCATGTTGGCAGGTGGCGGGTATCGGTGGATGAGAGACTGACCAAATAAGGAGAGGAGCTTTACTAATATTCATGTTACATCTTTGATGCTTTTCATTCATTTCCATATTGTTTTACAGTCAAATGCAAAGCAGTGTAGAGATTCAATCATCAGTCATTCCAAGGCTTGAATAACAAGTGGTTTCTGCAAAAGAGTTCTTATGAAGACTCTGTTGTGTGTGCATTCTTGATGCATCCGAGTGCGGCGCGCTCTTCTCAGTGCCTCTGGGAGGCTAATCTCTTTAATAGCGGCTCGTCGTAGACCCAGCACTCGCCGTCCTCGTGGAATAGCTACAGAAACACAGAGCAATGAGAATTATTATACTCGATATCTGAAGAATTTCTGAAAGTAAAATTACAATGTTGTCACTGATCTCTCTGAGATGTGTGGAATTTAAAGTTTGCGGTACGGAGAAGGCTTCGCTTCCATTGCCACGACAGTTATGGCTGCGATATGTCAAATACACCGTGTGTTTACTTTCCTTAGTGTCCATGACGACGACACAAGCGCAGAGAGAGACGCGTGTTAGCCTCTGATGGCTATTTGGTTCTGGGAAAGTGCAGGACTCATGCACGGTGCTCATGCACGGTGCTCATGCACGGTGCTCATGCACGGTGCTCATGCACGGTGCTCATGCACGGTGCTCATGCACGGTGCTCATGCACAGGATTTTGCAAATGATGCAAGAAAACTGTTTCCACTAAACTAGTAACAACCTCGTTTCACCACTGCAGACAAAAAGCAGACTGCTGAATATAACCAGGCTACAAAACAGGGACACTAGCAGATAGTGACGCCTGACCCAAACACATCCGCTAACTAGCTGCACTCCACAAGTCAGGAGGATCAAACGGTGAATAGAAATTCCTGATGCCTGGTCAAAAAGCTTGACCTAACATCCGGTTGTTGTTACTTTTCCTTAAAACTTCCACGGAAAACATTACCCGGGTGTGTTTTGTGCAATGAGCTGGTTCTTCTATAATGCTTTTCTACTCTACATACAACATGCCTCATTCACCCAGTCGCACCCGTCATACAAGCACTTGATTCCATGCTTAACACTCGCACTCCAATGGCTGCATCAGAGAGAAACCTGGGGTTAGCATCTTGCCCGAGGATGTTTGGCATGAAATCAAACCACCAACCTTCCGATAAGTAGATGACCTGCTCCACCTCCTGAGCTACAGCCACCCCCACCTCACTGGATATATTGCTGTGTCGCTACTGCTGCACTATAACGCCTTGTGGCGATAGATTCCACGTTAAGTGGGCGGTGTGTCATGGATGACAGCAGCTCATTGGAAAAGAAGGATAGAAAGCGTCCTTCGTGTTGTTTGCACTAATAAATGCTGCTGCTGCCTGAAAGCTGCACTCACCGATAAAATGTTGCTCAGCAATTTTTCCTTTTATTGTCATAAATATGATTGTTGTACATTTCCTTGAAATGAAGCTACTTTCAGCTGCTCCCTGGTACCTGCAGCGGGTAGCTCTGCACGTTTTAGTCTGGTTGCTCTTTCTGATGCAACCTACAAGTGATTTGTGTCTCAAGCTGGAATCAAACCAGCAACCTTTCACATGCATTTGTGTAAAACACTACACTTTGGAGCCACACTGCAAATATCCTGACAGAATTTTAAAGCTATATTGCCCATAATACTCAGATCTCATGGTACGCTAAGGAAATCCTCACCCTGGTCTCCCACTGCTGCTCCTTCTCCTTCCTCTCTCTGGCTTCAGCTCTCTGTTTCTCCTCCAACCGGTGCTTGGCTTCTGTCGCTGCATCGATGTCTTTTATCTTCAGGTTCAGAGTCACATCCTTCCACAGTCTAAAAGGGGTAAAAGTTTGAAAGTCAAACATTTAGAGTTAAAGGATCCCGTGAGACGGCTGAGGTCCGACACTGATCCTCTCCTCACCTTCGAGACTCGTACTCGAGCTGGTCTTCCAGCTTCCTCACTCTCTTCTTAACGATGCCCATCTTCTTAGTGTCTATGAACACCGTGTTCTCCTAGAAACATGAAAACACGTTCACACACGTATTAATTCATTTAAGGTGGTGATTTCCTACATTTTGTAACGTAAATAAAACAAAGGACTCACTCCAGTCGCCCATTTAGCATACATGACTCCGTTCCACTCTCCCTCAATGGAGCAGAAAGACTTCTTGTCGTTTGGTGAACTGCAGGGACGAAACCAAACCCAGATGTCATCTTGTGTATTAAAGACTCTCAGCAATCCTCAAATAATGTGATATAACCACATGGCTCTTACAAGATCTCTGCAGTGATTCTGTGCTTCTTTCCACCATAGAAGGGTTTGGTGTGGAACACGATGTTAGCGCTGTAGCCCGACTTGGAGCAGGAGATGTTGCACTCTCCACCAAGCTCCACCCACGGCACAGTGAGGATCGACCTGGACAGACAGGCGTAGGTCAGCGAAACAAAGTAACGACCGACTGAGCGATGACAGGCGAGCACAGGGACGCGTTAACGGCACCTACCTGCCATATCCGTTAGGAAAGGTGAGAATGTAATGCTCATCGTGCTCCAAACATGACACGCAGCCTGGAGAGAGGCCAGAGGTCACTTAACACAAAGATTCACTGAATCACACTCATCAGAGAATATAAGGCAGAGCTTAGTGTACCTTGGCCGATGTTGTGGACGCCTATGGACATGCCCAGAAACTTAGATTTAGTCCAGATGTGAGCGTTGAACTGGATCTTCCTACTTAAGCACTCGGCGTAGAACGCAGAAACTACAGGGGAAAAATGCAGGAAATAATTAGTGGTGCAAAAACAGCAACACATCAGCGATCGTGCAGAAAATAAAACCCAAACATTTTTACTTTTCTAAAGCCTCCGCCACACCCTTCTGGATCTACATGTAATGAGCAATTCTGCGTTTACACTTACTGGGCGGGTGGTGAGAGACCTGCTCTGCCACAAAAGACACGCTGTTGGATGAAGCCCAGGGAACCGGGCCTTCTGATACCGTCTCCTGAAACGTGCCAGAACGAAGCACATTGAGAGCAGGATTGTGATTCTTGGTTAGAACTGCAGATCGACGATTCAGGAACTTGTAAAAGTAATAATTGAAATTATTACTGGATCAAAAATCTACTTGACCGCAGTGACAAACGGCCTCACCGTAGGTGGCGAAGGCTCCTCTGTCTCGCTGGGAAGATCCCAGTGGCAGTAGAAGACTTCTCCTAGGATTGGGTTGTACGGTTTCTTGGCCACTGAGCCTTTCCTTCCGGCATGGAAAGCCGACAGGTACCACCTCACCACCTGCACCATCCGCTCCCTGGGCTCTGGCTGCTCAGCGATACTAACGAGTAAAAGAAACAAGTACTGAATGACGGCCTGCCCTCATGCCAGAGTGTGCATGATGATAAACAGCTGAAATGGTACGTACCTTACAAATAAGTCGGGGTGTGCAAAGAAATCTGCATACATTTCTAACAAAGACCTTCTTTCTAGGATGAAGGTAGGCAGGACCACCTGGGAAATACAGTGAAGTGTTGTTAAAAAAGAAAACCTTACGCCGACAGCGCTGGAGAGCGAAACGCCGCGGCGGAACAATTAGGGCGGCTAAGACGCTAAGAGGTCCTGACCTTTGTGAGGTCCATGCCCAGTCGAACTTGAGACAGCAAATGCATGATGACGCTCTTGTGCTCTTCCACAGACTCCCTTTCACCGTCGTCGTCACGGTCATCGTGGCAGTCAAACTGGTCTGAGGACAAGAGCAGAGCCACATATTTCACCATCATGTAGTAAAATATGAGTTAAATAACGCCTCATGCTTAGAGTTTACTCAGTGAGGGACAATCAGCTGCGATGTGATCAGGTGTCTCGTGAGCATTTCCCTTTTTACCCGTGTCTGTGGTGCCATTGGACATCGAAGAGTTGAGGGACTCTGTAGTGTTGGGTCGTTTCAGAGCCGTTTCTTCGTTAGTAAGGGGCGAGGCAGCTGGAGGCCCTGAGGGACTGGGTGCAGGAGGAGGAGCAAGGAAGCAGGAAGCAATAGAGATAAAGGGGATAAAGAATAAATATAAAACAAGAGGCAAACTTCTCAGATTGCAAATGCTCGTGCTGCTGGATTTTTATTCAATCCAAGCAGAATATTTCTTGCTGCTGTACTCACTCTATGCAGTGTTTGGGGGAAGTGTTGCTCTGGTAAAACTCATCGGCGTCATAGAATTCGTCCTCACTGGAGGAGTAGGAGAAGTCTGGCACCGAGTGTGAGGGGAGGGGGATGTGAGCCGGGGAGGCGACGCCGCTGCTGGGGCCTGACGGGCCACTCCCTAAAAAACACACATAAAAAAAAATGTAATCGAACAGTGTGCCTCACGCCATCAGCCCACTCATACATACATCTGTCATCCGCCTGTCTGTTTGGTAGGAGGAGCCAAAAGGCCTCTGTTGATGCAGAAGCTCGCCGGCGCCTGCCCTACTCGGCACCATTAAGCCGCCTTAACACAGTGATGACTTTCTCTGCAGAGCGTATTGACAGTCCTCTCAAGCATGCAGCCGGTCTCCTTATTGCACAGCGCAGCATTTTAATACTGCAGCCTCAGCAGAGACGGCAAACAGGCTGCAACCTCTGCTTTCTGCTCATTTTAACTTGCGTTCAGTGGCACGCTTTCACGCATTTAACAAAACACACGAGCTTCAAAATGCTCCTAAAAATAGCATTTTTGTTAACGACCTGTAACCTGTAAAACTGCAGTAAAACAAATTAGCACTGCCACGATTACGTCGATGACAAATTTAATAGACGGGTCGAGTGTAAGATCCTAAAGATGCAGGAGTAAGTAGCAGGATTTAAGAGTCTTCTCTTTACCGGCTTCAGTTAATTCAAAATGCAGCTGCGCGTCTTTTAACAGGTACGAGAATCTATGAACGATTCACTCCAATTTTAGCCAAACTACATTGGCTCCCTGTTAAATATCGCATAGATTTTAAAAGTCTTTTGTTCACTTTTAAAATTCTGAATAATTTAGCGCCCAGCTATCTTTCTGAGCACTTGCATCGTCCAATCACAGGCTCGTAGCACAACCTGGGTCTCGAATGAAGTCGAGAGGTGACCGGGCCTTTGCATCCGTGGCACCTCTGGAATAACCTCCCTGTTCATGTTCGTACTGCCGAGTCGATCCAGTCTTTTAAATCACGTCTTAAAACTCATCTTTTTACTTTGGCCTTTGATTCTAACTAGTTGGCTGTTCTAGCTTGCTGTGTTGTTACCTATTGTTTGTTGTCCTGTTTTATTGTTTGTTTTAATTGTCTTATGATTCTAGAACATAAATGACTGGTATCTGAGGAATCGATATTTCAGTATCGATCCGCACATCACTAGTGTCCAAATTCAGGGGCCGCATCCTTTGGACGCCGCATTAGGAGGCCGATCACGTTACAGTGACGTGACAAAGGCTTCGCAAATTCGAAGACTCCTCCAAATAAGGCTGACAAATATGTCCTCCTTTTCCCCAGATTTGAAGGATGGGTCGGGCGTGTCCTTCGTGTCCCAACGTATTCCAGAATTCATAGCTCAGCCAATTCCAGTTTCCAACAATGGCAGCAGCTCCTAAGTTTTAATATCACTCTTATTCCTCTTTCTGGGTCACAAAATAAACTTTTAACATATTTTCAGGTAAGAATGTAGCTGTGTAAACTTCTAATATCTGCTCTGTTTATCAAGACATCACATATTTGTGTAAAAGTGCTCCGTCGTCTGTTACCCACCAGCTCGATAGCTAACCCGGGTTCACTAGAGCCGGCGAAAAACACCAGACTCCCAGAACATAATTTTTAGATCCCCGCGGTCTTTCGCTACTCAGGTTAAACATGATATACGAGTCACTTAGATAACTTAAAATGTTATTGTTTGGCTTTTTTCAGTATTTTATTTGTTCCTGAGTAAATCGGTTTGGCTGAGATTAAAGTTATAGTTTTTACACAGCTGAATAAGCAGACAGCTGATTATCAGAAGTGTGAGATGCTCCAGAATTTACTCCGGTGTCCTGTTATATTTTAGATAGCAAGGAGTTTATTAAACTTCACCGAGACAATCTGCAAATTTCATTAAAAATTTAATAAACATCTTGTCTTTATTTTCAGTTAGCACAGACCTTACACACTTAAAGCTGTAAGCTAATGATAGTTATATAAGAGCAGATGCAACAAGCTGTACGTTTTACGTCCAGTGGATGATGATCTGATTAGTCGACTATCAACAAAATCGTTTGTGGCAGCTCTGCTACAAATAGACAAAGACGGCACTAAATGTCATTTAAAGTAATTGTTTGAAGGTCAAGAATGAAATGAAAAAAAAAAAGGATATTTTTTGGCCACTGGGGGGCAGTGGCACCAAATTATGTAAACACATTTCACCCAAATCACCTTAAATCTACTATTACATGTCCATGCTACTGTACTGTTTGCTATGTGATTGTAGTCCATTGTTTGGTGGCTCCTAAACAACAACATAACAAGCGATCTAAATAAAACCCATCAGGGTGCCAAGTTTGGCTGCTTAACTCCTGATCGTGTACGAAGAGTCCGAGTATGAAAGCTTGAACTTTTCATCAACAGATCGTCAGTATCATCCCTGGTTTCCCTGTGGTTACCATGTCCTCAGGGAAACACATTCTTCTGTCCACTGTTTACCATTAAAAAAGGTTGTGTGCAGTTTACAGATCACACAGCTACAACAACAACAAAATAACTAAACAGACTCTAACCTGCTGATTGGGCTGCTCGGCAGTATGAGGAACCCGTTTCAATAACATATAGCCATTTCAGCATTTCACAAAAATTAGTCCAGTTCACGACACTGAATTGAATTCACCTGTGCTGTTGGGAGTCGGGGTCTGCAGACTGCCCATCACTGTGACGACGGGACCAACAGGTAACGTGGAGGGTCGTTGGTCTGATTTGCACACCTGAGACGCGTCTTCATCAAACGGAGAGAAAGCAGAGTTAGCGCCGAAGCCTCGAAACGAAGCCAGACCCCATTAAAAGCAGCATCTCATGCCACGTGGCAGGACGCTGCAGACAGAAGCTTCATCTGTGAGCGGGGATTACACCGTCTATTATAAGAGACCAAAATTAGAACGGCCTACTTCGCACTGCTGATTTTATAGCCTTTTTTTTTTAGTCTAGTCATAGTCATCTGACTGAAATAGCCAAAGATTTAGTCAGAGTTCAGTCAAGACATGTGAGGATTCTTGTTGAGTGGATAAACCATATTAGCCCACAAAACAGGAATCTGCTTCAACACAGATCCTTAATTTAAAAGGAGAAGAAGAAGAGAGGGAATAATGCTGCTAAACCCTGTGTGAAGGTGTACCTTCAAATACTGAGAGAATATTAAGAATATTTATCAATACTGGTGATGGTACTGTCACACTAGAACATGTTTCCAGTTGCAGCTGAAACATAATTTCAAATGTCATCCAAGGACAGAACATCGACAGATTTGACACATTTCTCTAACGGTTCTGCGATTCCAATCCCAACCACAGGGGGAGCTGCTGTCACCTTTAAGTATATAACACCAACAACCTCTCAGCATGTCTCAACACAGTAAGTGACAGCTGTTACTTTTAAATGTCTGCCACATGCTGAGGGGGCAGATGTACCTGGGGGTAGTGTTGTCTGTGTTGGCATTGTGTTCACCGCTGGAGTGTCCAGAGGGGGCTGGTAGATCCCATCCACTGGGTTGATGGTGCTCTGGAGGAAAAAAAACAAACAAACACAACGATGCCCTTTACAACAAAAAACGACATCAGAGCTTTGCTGCAACAATCACACACACAGACCCACTGCCTGCTTACTGGTTTAGAAAAAACTAAATCGAAAGCAGTTTGGCTTTTAGTTCAGAAACAGTCCTACTCTGCAAGGATCCACCTGCTCCTTTATCCTGTCAAACCCAGAAGGGGAACAATATGACCTGATCACAACTCGGCGCACCTATGTGAAGAGCGAACTAAACAATGCATCATCCAGCCGGCGCAGATCAATTTCCTCGCACTCGATTTCCTGGAAAGAGCGGCGTTGCCAAGCTTAATTAATGCAATCAATATGAAACCAACAACACAGCTTGACATGCAAACGCTAGGAGTAGCTCTACACAACTGCTAACGTTGACTCTTGACATCTGAGCAGCCTGTTTCTTCTTTAAAAAGGCCTGGGGGGGTCGGGGGGGTTAATAAACACTACAGTAGGTAATCATTTGTAGAGGCCTGCCTTGATTCGTGGCAAACGCTGCATGCATACAAACAGCAGCCTGTCGACACGATGTGGTCGCAGCCCCAACGACCCATCTGACAGGAACACCAGCAACCACACGAGATACACCAAAAATATCTCGCCCCTCGTTCCCCAACAGCTCACCGCCAGGAAACAACATTTAGTGACATTATAACGCAAACCTGACCTGCAGTTTCTGACTTCTACACCTTTTCTCTATTTTGAGATAATCTGAGCTCAACAGGAACGCAGCGACTTCGTGTTACGGCTGTGAGATTAGGCCGAGGTGTGACGCGAGGTTTTTACTGAACTGAGTTACAGGAATTACACTGACCTTGTTTTTCTCCGTTTATAGGTCAAGATAACTGACAATAAACCTTTATCTAAACGCAAAACAAAAAAGATACAGTCAGAGGTCAAGGATTTGCCCTCCTATCTCCAAACTTCCTGCGTCTGTTCTGTTCTTTCTCCTTCTAATGGTTCCAGCGTCCACATGCCTTCATAAAAGTAACTCGATGGCTTCTAATTAGATCCAATTATGTATACGGACCAGCCTATGGCTATGCAAGCACGACATGAGAGGAAAAAAAGCATGTGAAGAGCAAGGTCATCAAAAAAAGCTAAAAAGGGTTTTAAACTCTAATGATCAATAACCTCTCTACCCCTCCAAGTGAATGCAATATTAATGCAATGAGCAGCTCTCGCAGCAGTGCAACCCCTCAGCCACCCACAGCACATAAATTATTTTGACATAACTACTGAACATGCTTCTCGTGAGCTTGGTTTAAATGATTCTTGCACTTTGCAGCAATTCCCCAGGCAGTGCAGTTTGACAGGGTCAAACGTGCTGCTGACGCCTGGAGCATCTTAAACAAAGGCCTACGGTGCATGCATCACTGCTGTGCAGGCAGTGACAGACATTCAGCAGAGGTACGATTAGTGGAAAGCCTATGGCATACAAAGGTGGCACGTGCAGGTATGTGCATAGGCAGAGCTTTCGCTGTGCTATTTATACTACATAATACTATACTTAATGATAAGAGATTAAGCCAGCTGTAAGATCAATGCAGTCCTGTGAGCTAGCCGGCTTACGCGGAGGTCTTGCTTAAAGTGGGAGGTTGTGTTGTATTAAACGATCTACAAACACTTCTCGATCCTTTGCTTTTTCCAAAGATGGAAGTAGTGATATCCACCTTCAGTTTATTTATTTTGCAGGTCAATAATTAGTAGTCATTAGTATACATGAGACACATAATCTGGTATTAGGTCATAACAACTGTGTCATGTTTTATCGCCTTTTTAGGTCTGGTAATTTTTAGAGCCGTTTTATTTTGAAAAACAGTTAACAGGAACTCTTACTGCTGAAAGCTTTAGTGGTTCAAAACGTGCGTAAATCCTGTCGTGGCCTTCAACACGAATATCTGCAGAAGCCCAGGAGTGCTTTCTGCACGGCTTTCCAGCTATTAGTGCTCAGTGGTTCAATAAGCAGGCAGTGTGACAATGACCGATCAATGGTGACTTCGATTCCTCTAATTAGTAAGTGAAGTGATGGGCAACACTTGTATACGCAGGCATGCGATCACACGTGTCCCATGTGCACTTACACTAGTGCATCTCAGAACACCGAGTATTGTGTAAAGGTTTATTTTTCATAATTTTATTTAAAGAGATAAACTTTCATATATTCTGTAAAGTGAGATATTTCCGGCCTTTATCAGCTACAAACAGCCAGTATGTCAAATTATTAGAAGGCTTCCTCAGATCAAACAGAAAGGATCTCCATGTGCCGACTTCTACACTACACTGAACATCATCTGTATTTTTGGGTTTTTCTCCTATTCCTCTTGAACAATGGCAGACGCACTCTTGTCCACAGTGTGGATAAAACACAGTGGATCAACCATCACCAGCAGACGACACAGCACCCTAAAATCACCCTAAAAATGTGACCGCAGCAAAGAAACAAAAAGGGAAAAGGAAAATAAACTGACTTTGCTCATTAATAAAACTCACTGTCTGGGCAATGAGCTGAATTTAATTAGTTAATCCTTATATTGCGATATCTCTGGGATTAACTGTGCAGCGGCAGAAAGGGGAATTTTCCTGGTCCACTTAAGATTAAAGCAGCTGTATGCGGTCCATCAGATATATGGCTTGAGATTAGAGACGCTCTTACCTAAAGAGTGGACACCGTCCGCTTTTCCTGACAATCCACTCACGGCTCAGGTAATTGCTACTGCTTGTGCAACTGTTCCTACCACACTTTCCATTAACATGCTTCAAAACAGCTTTGCTGTGGCATAAACTCGATCTTCATCTGGACAGCTGTCGAGTCAGCGTTCTTCCCAACGACTGTGGTTACTAAACTAAGAGTGAAGAGTAATTTACTCACACTGAAAATGAAATACTTCAATAATTTGAGGAACTGAATAACAGTTATAGGCCATCGTCAACAAAATACTAACATTTACATGAATGTTTACCTTTTTGAATAAAATGATAAACTTTTCACAATACTTGACATTTTTGAGATGTACTAATATACACTCAATGTGCATTTTGTGTAGCACCATTTGCACATATACATTTCATGTCTTCATGAAGGAAAAAATAGTTACAAAATAAATAAATATTAGATTTTAGAGGAAGATATTGATTTAATTAAGAAGAAGGCAGCAGGAGACATGAAGGAAAGCTTAGACCCAAATTAGACTGCATGCACTAAACAGATCTGTACATCTGCTGGTCTAACAGGAGAGAGTCTATTAAGCGAGAAAAGAAAGTTAGCAGTTTGTTTGATTTCGACTTTTGTCATGGACAGAAAGGGTCAAACTTACTATAGGTCCGTTTGCGTGTTGCTGTTCGTTACTTTGGTCCTTAAAATTTTAAGAAGACAGTGTTAGACTCATTGTATGTGAAGGTTCAAGAGTCATTTCATAAAAGCATCGCGAGCATCTGCCGCGGTGCGGTGCAAACGAGGCCCGGGCCTCTCGCGTTAAGCTCCAAAACTTTCCCCAAGTTGCCACATACAGCGATCCTTTCATCACACGGTCAAATCCAGACTTGCCACTTCTTTCAGTAGTGAAAACGACAGGATTGCACTACCGTGTGAGATAATCCACGTGTGTGTTTTTTGCTTTCCTTATCAAACAGCTAACAAAGCAGAAACGATTGCTCCACTTCCTTTCAGAAGGCTGAACAGAACATGTGATGAAACGAACACTGGGCAACACCCTCACCAACCACCGACCCAGAGAGCAAGTAAGCAGGGAACTACCCCAGGGATGCGAGGTAACACAGTGCACACTCATGTGGTTTCACAAGAACAATGGTTATGAAGAAATGGCAAACTGCAGAGAGCGGACTCGTGCTGTGCTTACCTTGGCAATCTGCAGCAGTACAATACAGTGCTTGATGGACTCTACCATACTCTGAAAGGGAAAAATCACAGAGCAATTAATTAGGAAGGAAGTGACTTCTAAACCCAACAGGAAGGAAAATGTGTTCATTCTCTGACTTACACAAGTAGTCTCCTTCAAATGTTCAATTTTCTGTCGAAAGAACAGAAAGAAGTAAAAATGAGGTTAAAGAGCAGAAATACTGATGCGAGTAATGACGCCTGACTGGCTTCAGCCGAGGCTTGAAACTCCAGCTGTGAAAGGTTTGATGCAGTCGGCACAAGCAACCAGGTAAAGTGACCAAAAGCTGGTGTTAACCTCAAAGAGGAAGTGGACATGTAACCCCAGAGGCTAGTGAGACGCCCTGAAGGTTAAACGTTTACACCTCTAATCTTCGAACATTAGAAGATCTGCTCGGAGAACTGACCGGGCCTGAGAGGCGCTACAGAGAAAGGAAGATTGTAGTTTGAACAATAGTCCCCTTTTTTTACATCATGTACTTCTTAAATTGTCCATTAGTCAGTTAAGTGACTGAGAAAATGAAGCACAAACTAAAAAACTGAACTACTGAATCGATCAGCCTCGCAGTCGCCAGCAGCTCGGTCCAAGCTGAGGGCAACCTATGGTGTGAGTAGAGGTGGTGGCAAGTTTTGGTTAAGCTAAAAGCAACACTGGAGAACAGACGGGTCCTTTGTCAGGACTACTCATCTTCTTCATGCATCTTTCCCCCATTAAGACGACGTCTGATGACGCCCCCTGTACCATTAAGGAGTTCTGACACCTCAGCATTCATAAAGAAAGATGTGGTTTGATGACGATTAGAGTTTCTGGGATTTTCTAATGCACATCCAGTCATTTTGGACTCTAAGCAGGCCTGAAATAAAGCTGAAACCACTCAGTTAAGGAAAGCGCTTCAAGAGTTACTCCTTGAAGGATTAATTTTTATTCTTCATGGCTGATAAACAAATATCGAGGGGACTGAACTTTAGCTTTTGAAATAAGAGGATCACTTCTGAAATCACTGCTGCTTTAGGCCAGTTTGGAACAGAAATATCTGCGATACACCGACAGCTATCAGTTTCCATTCGCCCCCTGCTCCTTTGTTAGCAGCGGCTCTAATGATGCTGGACCGGAGAGGCGAGACGCGAGGACAGAGCTGCGCTGCTGATACTCACTCTGCGTGATTCATCCTCTTTGCAGTCCTTGATCTTCTCATCAAACAGCTGTGTGGACAAGAGATGAAAGAAAGGTTAAAAAACAGAAACATGGAATAAGAGCTATTCCACTGTCAGATGACTGTACAGATGACACAGTGGAAAACTACTGAGAGCTTATAAGGAAGGACATGTTACGTGGTTTCCTTAAGATGCTGGAGACAGTGTCTACTTTCTTTAAATACAGTTATCTGGTTTGTCACCACAAATCTTACTCACAAGAACTTCTGCTTAACCGAAAAGTAGACAAGGAAATGCTCGCTGACACAGATTCAATCTATAAATATAGGATGAGAAGCCACTGAAATCTACAACATCTATATCTACCTCACGGTGTGGATTTCCGTCGTGTCCTACCTTTAACTGATCAATCAGAATCTGTAGGTAGGCGTCAGCTTCAGCTAGCTTCTTGTCAAAGTCTTGAACACTAGGAACAAATCCCGTCTCAGCCTCCTAAAGACAAGGGAAGAAACACAGCTGAGCATCAGTGCAGTCCTCGACGCAGGTGTTGCAAAAGGTATTTGCATATTCAAAGTAAAGCACAAAACCACAGTCCATAAATCCAGGGCCGTGTATTCACATATTTATCTGTTCATTTACCAAAAAACAAACACATAAAAGGGGGGAAAGCCTCTCATATCCATCGCCTCCTGGTCAGGTAGGCTTTATAAACTGTTACACAAAACGGTGGAGAGAAACATCAACAGTTCAGGAGAATTTTCCAGCAAAGTACCGTAGTGAGGGAGACATGAGTACTATTGTTTAAAGGCTCGTCTACATGAAAGGCCAGCAGGTCTGCCTGCTTGCCTGATGGAGGCCAACTCGTTTCAGGCCCTGAAACAAAGCTGAAATCAGGACTCATGACCGGAGAGCATTCGGTTACGGGCTGAGGTGCACTCAAATTCATTGTTTGTTAATTAGCTTCCTTTAACGGCCCCCAGACTTCTCACTCACACACACACACACACACACACACACACACACACACACACACTTTGTTACATAATAGCCATTAAAAGGTAATTACTAGACTATTGGCAGAACAGACGTGACCAGGCATCTGTCTGCCTGTCTGTGCGCACCCACCAAAGCACCCAGAACAATCCAGTAAGCTGTGACACAAAACCAAAAGACAGGAAAACGGGGGGAAAAAATAATTCCCCCTCATTTAATCACCGAGGCTGTCAACAGCAAGGACACCGAGTGCCCGCGAACACACAACACCCGCCCTACGTCAAGCCAGCGGACTCAGGAGATGACTAACGGTGTGTGTCAACGCACTTTACCACTTTACAGCAGTTACGTGGAAAAACGCACAACACCTGAAAAGCCGCTCTGTCAAAACGAAACAACTGCTGTCAGAAGTCAAACTCTTATCAAACCGTGGTGGGTGTCACTGCTGCTTTGGAGCTGCCATGTTGCAGAGTCCAGCTGCGTCGCGAGTTTGAGGCGCGTTTTCTTGCAAACGAATGAGCTCCGATAGGAAAGTGAAGAAAAGCCATCAACACAAAGCCGGTGAAGTTTAAGCTTCGGGAAAACATATACACTCAGCAGCCATGAAGCTATGAGGGCAAACTTCCTCAAAAGGATCAAAGGTGCTTGTTCAGCTTAAAGGGGAAAATGTAGCTGTCTGCATGAAGGCCTGAGCGAAAAAAAGAGAAAACAAAGAAGAAAAAAAAGGCTGTAGCTGTGCGTCTCTGGGGGGTTTCACCCTGACTGGCACAAATCCTGAAGAAACTTGCCGGATAACTCGCTACACTGGAAACACGTAAGTGGAGTATTATTCCAGTAAGGCATCGCATCAGGACACCAGCGACACGCAGCGAAACAAGTCGGAGCGAAAATCTCTACGCGAAACTAATTTCACAGTAAAGTGTTACAAGACAGATTAGAGATGAACCACCTGAGCCTCGACGTTTACTCTGCACTGCGTGAAAAGTCAAAGAACAGAAGTGAACAAGACTCTACTTTCCTCCATGTGTATTTAAAGCTGACTCTACCTGCAGAACAGCCCGGTGCTCTGTTACCACCGAGCAAACGATGCGTCCTGTTTTGACAACACACGTGACACAGGGGAAGTGTTTTTCTTTCTTCTTTTAACGTTTGGGAGCAGAAAGTCAGAGGCAGGTGGTTGGTTTATAAACAGCCACTGTAGTGCTCACTTCTGCCCTGTTCTGGAAATACTCCCAGACTTCCACTCCCACGCGTTTGCAGCGCGCAGACTGTCCATCCCTGTGACACAGCAGCAGGGAGGTTTGAGCGTGGCCTCCTGTGTTAAATTAAGACAAAAAAAGAAAAACAACAACCCACCCCGCCCCCCACACCCACAGAGCAGACTTTACAAACAACACTGCCCTCGCACACTCCCCCTCCCTCCCCTGTCTATTTGTCTTTCCACTCAGCGTGACCCACTTTAAAAATGCTGCTGTCCCAGTGGCGCTGCAGCCGCGTAGCTTCTCCCCTCGCTTTGGTGCAGCGGGGCTTTTGCCCGTCTGTGTGCTGTTACTTACTGGGTGCTGTGCTCCAATAGACATGCTGCAATAAGCCAGTGCATCTCTCAGTCCATTTAGCAGAGTGCAAGGTCGCTTTCTCTGCCTCCGTATCTCTGTTTTCCCCACAGCTACAAACCGCCAGCTCAGCTGAAGTCACATTCTTTCCTCCTCCTCCTCCTCCTCCTTCAGCACCACAGACAAACAAAACAATTTGCTCCCTTTGCTCCCCACTGCGGTGTGCCAACGTAAACCCTAGCAGCCTTCAGACTGTTAGCGGGGCTTCAGCAGCAGCTATCAGCTAAGCGTTGGGTCTGAGCCGACTTAATCCAGGACCCTCCCCTGACAGGAAAGCCACACTTCCTCTCGCACAGGCGGACGAGAAAACACACAAACCAACAGCAAGCGCTGAGAGGCACGAGCTTTAACAGCCACGGGGATTGGCTGAGACAGCCGAGGCAGATGTTTGGCCGATTGAGCAACCGGGTCTTGGATTGGGTAGCTGGGTCACATGATGCTTCGACAGCAGCGCTGCATAGATGTGCGCATGCAAGTGTGTCCGCACGCAGGCACACGCGTAGCACATCAAACGGATTTGCCACCAAAGGGAGAGAGGGAGGGCGAGCAGAACAAGAAAGGTGGGAGGGAGAGCAAAGCTTGGTTATGAGGATGAAGAGAGGCGATGAGGAGGAAGAAGCGTATCTGGATGAGGATGGGAGGGAAGGTTTGTTTTGAGGGAGGAGAGCAGGGAAAGAGGTTGAGCAGAGAAACAACTGCAGGGCAGGAGGAGCAATTTCTACACTCATAAAAACAGATAAACGCCGGTGGGACAAAAATGGCAGCAAGCAGGTCAGCAGCTGAGCAGACTTTCCATTAAACTTAAAAGCCTGCTCCTAAAACCTGTCCAGACTGGCCACGTATTTCCAAACATCCTCAGCCTACGATGACGCAAATGTCAGCATTTTCCCTTTAATACAGACGTGAATTATCTTTCAGCTCTGCTCTCTTGAGGAAAAAACAGATACGAGCAATACTCGTAAAGCTTAAAGTGCTGATAACCTGCAAAGCCCATTCAAATCCATCACGAGTGTTCGGGTGTAGTTTATGCAAATACAGACTGCAGTGAAAGCTCTGATATTATTTTCATGGCAGGGTTTTCAAACTCGTTTACCTCTTCATCTAAACCAGGATCATCGTCAGGTATCACAAAGAGCGGCACGCTCGAGTTCGGAAATACGAACTGTGCGACGGGAATTTGTAGAAATGGCAGGCAAACACCAGAGGATCCACAGAGCAAACAACTCCTCTGTTAACTGCAGTGGATTAGACAGAAAGACACACATCCAAAGAAGCGCTTGGTTTCATACCCGGAGTTGGAGGGTGTGCCGGAGGATAGTTCCCTCTAAGGCGTGGATCCACTTCTCCCGCTCGTCTGCATCTCGGGCTGAGGACAGAAACACAGAGACACACCCAGTGAGCCACGTTTTCCATCTGACACCATTGAAAGAAAAGGAGTAATGAGAGCACTAAGATGACATGAGTACTGGTGACGCAGTGAGGGACACTGAATATTCACCTAGAAAGTTTCAGTGAAAACATGTTTACAGGTTTATTTCTCTCATGTCATTCGGTGACGGCAACCAAGAGATATTCTGGTAACTGTTCCCCGTGCTGTACATGAGAGCTGTACCGATCCTTAACCAAACTCATGCCGCCCAAAATGTCAAACTTTCCCTTCTAATCAGAGTATTCATCAGAGCTTGTAGGTCTGTGTCTAAATTGCATTAACATAAATGTCAATAAAGCCTCTTTGAATCTGAATGAATCTTTATGCATGTTTGAGCCTTCCACTGAATATAATGGAACTAAATGGGACCTGGTCTTTGTGCTCACAGTACCAAAAAAACAAACAACAACAAAACTCTGTCTCTCTGGAAATCATGACCCGGTTTGCCCAAACCTACTAACCTCGTGGTGCGCGGTTTCATAGAGGAACTACACCCACTAAATGTTTTACAGTTTAGAAGGAAGTGTGCAACTACACGAAACTGCTCAACAACAAAAGGTGCACAGTTTCTTTCTCCTTTGTGTGAGTCAGTCAGAGTTTTTAAAAGGTGTTTTATTGGCGTTTGAGGCCTATAAAGTGAATTCAGTTCAATTTTATTTATACAGCGCCAAATCACAACGACAGATGCTGAGCGAGCGCTTTAGTGACAGTGGGAAGGAAAAACTCCCTTTTAACAGGAAGAAATCTCCGACAGAACCAGGCTCAGGGAGGGGCGGCCTCCTGCCACGCCACCTTCATTATGCCCAATGAGGCAGGAGTCTGACAGACAGACATTAAAACTGAAGCTTTTTAAATACGCTCCACTATATTTAACTCATACAAATATAAAATCTTTGTCTGCATGACAGTAATGGCTGAATCAATACCATAAAAGTGACCAACTTTTATGGCAATTGTAAAAATGAGGACTTACAGCTCCTTTCCTGTGCTGCCATCTTTGTGTGAAGCAGAGCAGAGTGAGGCTGCACCCTCAGAGCAAAGACAGCGACATTAACCAATGACCCAGAACAGGCTCTGGCACATGCAGTACACACTGCAAAAGGCTCCTGGATGCTTTTTCCTGCCACTGGCATACGTAATATTGCATTTTCCTGCCAAGACATGGAATGAAGTGAAGTGGATGGGTGCTAAAGCTGTACAGCACTGTGCCAAGTCTGAGCCAATCTGTTTACTTTTTGCTAAGAAAATGGGAAACAGGTTCAGAAATCTATTGAAACGTGTAAACATATATGGAACTACAGTATATAAGGCAAAAAACCCACAGAGTTTATACAATAGGAATATTTCTGCAGGACGTTCAAGCTTTTGGGTGATGGCTGCCTTTTGTGGATTTCTGTCAATATGACCCCACGCACCTCTGAGGAGACCAGTCTATGGCTGACAGTGTTTTTCTATCCAGGTGAGCTTTTACTGCACTGGGCGAGTGTTTGGGATCATTGTCATGCTGAAAAATAGAGCTGCAGCCAAACAGATGCTTTCCAGGTGTTACTGCATCCAAATCTGACAGTTCCATTAATTTTGGCAGCCCTCAATAGCTCTACCATTACAGATCGCTACAGACACAAATTTGGATTCACGACTCCAGAAGACCCGTCGCCAACGATCTTTAGTCCAGTTTCTGTGCCATCTTCAGATCGTCTTCTTGACACCCACAGAGAGACTTCAGCAAACAGTAGATGGGTCAGATGCACGTTTGTCTGTTTCTAAAGGACAGGACTTTCTGTTCGTCTGCTGCAGACACGTTTTTAGTCCTGCACTTCATTGCACACCATGCTGAGATATGCCAAGTTTCCACACAAACCTCTTTGAGAATCCCCTTGTTGGTGGAAAAATGCCTGTCAAAATGTCTCATCTTTAGCATTATTTCTAGACCCGTGTAGACTTGTGTATTATATGCAGACAAAACACTGACCTGTGAATCATTTGAACCATTTAACAAAACAAAAAGAAAACACCCGTGTTAACTGGCTTAAAACACAAAACCAGAAATTTGCTGGAAAAGGTCAGGTGCAAAGACCGGACAGAAAAAGCAGCTAATGTTCCAGGTGAGGACAGTAATCAATACAGTCTCCAATCAATCTCCAAAAGCTGTTAACAAAGAACTAAATATGTCCTTGAATTAGCTCCTAAACTCCATCCTGTGTAAGAGTCATCTTTCATTGAGCTGGAAACAAGACAGAGCAGCAGATGAGCAGGCTAAGGAGCGCTACAACAGGAAAGCTTTTAAAGACATTAAACGGCAGCCGAGGCTCGGGCCAATCCACTCAGACAGCACCTCGCTGCCCTCTCGCTTTCCGACTCTGCAGGGGAACAGATCTGCTGCAGCTAATGTTGTTCAGCTCTACTCACGACAGCCAGGCCATCCAAGAAAAGCTAATACAGGAACTGTGTCACAAGTCCAATCTTTGTCCTAGTTACTGATTCACATCTGGAGCTGTGATTTGCTTGGCCAAGGAGGTGCGAGCACATTATTCATCCACCTGACAGGAACCTATTTTGTTAATACTCCACCAACAATCACGTTTTGTAGAATTTAAACACGTGACACAGAAAAGGGAGCACGCAACAGCCCGCCTCGTTAAACAATCTTTAACCTGCAAGCTCCCCAGTACAATATCTGCGTTATTCCCATTTGTGTCCAGGTGAGAAAAGAGCAGGTAATCATGCAGTGAATTTACAACGAGCGAGCAAGCGACCGCCATGTGTCGCTTCTCCTGCACGCTCTGCTCAGGAGCAGCTGACGCAAGCAGCCTCCTGCTGTGAGACGCGTGTGAGGGGAGGACATTCAGACAATGACTCGACCTCCTTCTCAACAATTTCCAGAAATTTTGGGAAAAAGAAAAGAAAAAGACAAAACTGAATATGCAAATGTTTTCAGTGAATGTTAGCAGCATCTATAGTATGTGTTTGAATTCATATCCTTAAATAAAATAAAGATAATAATTAAGGAAATTTGGGGATTCCAGTCGTGCAGTTTTGCAGTATCGTCAAATTTAACCGAACAAAAAGGACAAAAGTCTGAAAGTTAAATGCTTTGTCCACAAACCTGCCATTAAACCCGCTCTTAAAGTTTTACGATGCCGTTTCCACCCTGTATAAACCAAACAGTCTGACAGCTCAGCTGCTACTGTCACAACACAGCAAAGTGTGCAGACCAAACCCGTTACTGAAAGCTGGGCAATGGCAGCGAGGCCCAGCAGGGCTATCAGAGGCACGAACGGGAGGGACCGCACCTCACACCAGCGAGCTTCAGGTCAGCCACTCGCACGCGCTGCAAATATTAGAGGAAAACCCACAAACTTTCCCACACAGAACAGAAATCACTGCAAAATCTAACGGCTAAAAATAAGATCCCCAAATGCTGCTGCCAAATAAAGACGAGTTTCCACACATGTAGCAGCGGTGCACAGTTCCACACACAGCGGAGATCACCTCACATCCAGCAAAAGGAACCGATACTAGAAAAACATATTTACAAAGGAGGGTATGTGTTGGTAGAACTTTCCACAGGATGCAGCTCGTCTCACGAACGCTAAAGTACCTGCTGCGGATCGACCGATGTGTACAGGAGAGACTAAGTGAAAAGTTGGGAAAACAGATGAATTAAATAATATGATTAATTTGATGTCACACATTATTTTTCCCTCCTGTTATCCTTCAAAATGCAGGAAAATCTTTGCAAGCTTCTTTACAGTATCCTGCTGATTGCACAACATCATTATCTCACTGTAACTGAGTTTTTCAATGAATCCCTCCCCAGATGCACCGAGCAGCTGCTGAATGGTTGTGTATTTGACTCTCCGGGGATGTGGCCAACTTTAAGTGAAGTCAGAACTCACAGCGTGGTTTCCACACTACTTTTAAGCTCGATTCTTGTGGTTTTAACCGTTTTTCCTTATCTAACAATCAGGAAAATGAAAGAACTGGATGTGCAAGGATTTCGTGCCGAACCCAAAACAACAACGCTTACGTTGTCCCTTAAGGAGACCAG